ATATATATATATAGGATAGGAGAAGACGAAAATGTACAGATAAAAAGTAATCGATGTATAAAGTAAAGAGTTTTGTCGGTTTGTACACTGGAAAAAATCTGATTGCATAAATTGATAGATTCAACCAATTTTGTTAAAAAAATAAATCGAATCAGACTATTTTTAGAAATTACTAGATAAGCATGGTTAATAATTTATCACACAAAATTTCTTAATAATATCTAAATTCATTTAGGTCGGCATAATCTTTTAGTAAAATAAATTATAATTAGTTTAGAGTAAATTTAATTAAAGGTTTTATAGAGAAAAAGTCATTCAAAAATATTAAGTAAATTCTTACAGTTAAGCTTATTAAACGACTTAATAAAATATTAAATTAAATCATGAAACTAGCAATTTTGTTCTCAATCAAATCATCAAAAATGTATTCTATCATGTATATCTCATTGTTACGATTAACACATTTTGTACAATGTCGCAATTGTACTTACGCAATCGTAACTTACGCAACAATGATTTGGCAAGTTATGCGATGCATTCTTGTGTCATCAAGTTCGCGTATCAAATTCGCACGGCATCAATTGCGGTCGCGAGATAATTCTGTCTCGCGATAACTGTTTCCACGAGTAGCAATCATACTTTTACAGCACAGTCTATGTGCGCGCTGTGGATTTGCAATGATAATACTTTGCTAAAAATTTCATCGGGTCGTTTTAGATATCGTTTGACATATTTTATTGCTTTTGCACTGCGTGCGCGCGCGCGTTTAATGATCAACGGTCACATCTGCATGTGGCGTATCTTTACACTTATATTTTTTCCTTTATATTTTTATCGTCGTTTTTGCCTTTTTGGCGCGTTGTTTATAGTTAAACTGTACTACTGATGTAACACATGTTGTTATTCCTTCACACATTTGTTCTCTCCTTCTGATCTCGCTATATTTCTTATTAATAATAATATTCCTTTTCCCGGCTTTACACGTTTTCGTGATACATGACATTAAGTTTCAAAACTAATGAAAGTTTATTAATTACGGATTATGAATTGCTTCTACATAATTGATAATCAATTTTGCGTTATTGTGATATTTTCTTTAATCAAAATTGTTGCTGTCCCTTACTTTGATGGTATTCATAAGTAGTAACTATTTTTGTTGAATATTTTTGATAAATACATAAAATCAACTTTTTATGAAAAATTTTACATAATTTTTCATAAGTTGATTGCTAATATATAATAGCTTTTGTATACTCAATTTCGTAATATTTAATCACATATGAATATTCACAGATATATATAATTATGTTATTTTTTTATTTTTCTTGTCTCATTCGTAATATTATTTATAAGATATAAAATTCTTTCTATTCGTTATAACTATAGTGCGGATGTTGGGCACACACGCGCGTGATCCTGGGCCATGCACGGAGAACAGTGTTGCAATAAAGGTCTAGATATAACAAAATAACTCCATTTTTATCTATTATATCATAATCATTATTATAACCATATCAATTATTATAACCATATCAATAATATTAAGCTCTTATTGAATTACAGACCATTAGGTACAAAATCGCGATCGAAGTAGCCAATAGGAAAGTTGTCAACATTTCGGCTTAAATAAAAGACTTTGCTACTTTGGTATATTTAGGCTGGTATTCATAGTCGATTCTTATTTCAAGACCATCTTAAGTAATGTCTTAAGACGTTAATGCGGCCCTTTGATTGATTCATAACGTAATTCGTGAAGTAATATCTTAAGACTGAACTTAAGATGGTCTTGAATATAAGAATCGACTACGAATACCATCCTTAGATTAGAGTTTATGTTGCAAGACTTATGCAAACTCACGCATGCGCGCTAGCATAGTGACTACGATCAGTGATGTACATATTTTACTATTATATGATTATCGTTATGCCCCTCTTATAAAAGTATAGAATGTGATAATAATGCATCAGAGATTTTATGCAATCAAGTGGATAAGATTGAATCAATCTTAGACAAGAGAAAGAGAACATACATAATAAATTCTGAAAAGCCTTCTCAGAACTGCTGCATGCGAGTGAATCGAATGCTCGCTGAAATGAGATAGCAACATTTCTCGAAGAGACTCGAAGCCTGCCAACTGCATCCGATCTAATATATCTATCCGAATATATCTATCTCGGTTGATGCACGGCCTACTCAATGTAAACTAAGCGTGAAAATTTTTTTCTGTATTTTTCTATATTTTTTTATTTGAAATCGTATGAGGATGCTTTTTTTTAAAATGCCGAAATCAAGAGGAAAAAAGTCTTACCCTAAACCTCAACAAAAATATTTATGATGTTTTTACAAAATTGGACTTTATTGTAGCGTTTTACCAACTTGTATAAGATGCTTAAGTATCTCCCCGACTATAACTGATCTTTTTCTTATTTTAACTTTTATTTAAAAAAAGTTTCTTTAGTGAGATAAATTTTCTAATCTCGAGATTTTTTCGCAGTTGATTTGTTCGGTTTTTTCTTAATCTTTTAAATTGTCAATTGATCCATTATTATTAGTTGTAATTGTCTTATTATTATATTTCCAGATCATCGGAATGTTAAATGTTACTTGGGTCATGGCGGACTTCTCGGTCTCTCGGAGAGTGTTTATGTAGGTCTACCAATGATCTTAGTGCCGATATACGGTGATCAGTTTCACAATTCTGCTGCTGCAGAGACCAGAGGTGCCGCGGTGGTAGTTGCATACGATGATTTAACCGAAGAAACATTAAGAAATGCTCTGGACAAAGTTTTTAATGATACCAGGTATGCCTTTTCTTTTTGTTTAATCCTAAAATGAGAAACTTGTTTCTTATACAGAAAAAAACATTTTGTTGAAATATTTAGCTAGATATAAATCTGAAAACAGTTTTGTTGAAAACTATCAAAATAATAAGATGGCTTAAGTTGGTTGCTAGAATATCAAAATTTTTTGCAGCATTGCTTATTATACTTGAGATTTCATAATTATATTTTTTGATCCAACAAAGTCGTTTTTTAGACACTGCTAAAAAAGATATTAAAAAGAAATTTAATGTACTTTTAAATTACACAAGTACATTAAATTTAATATAACTAAAATATATATTTGTGTACATTTACATAAAATTTAATGTCGTTTACATAAAATTTTTATGAAATTTAGTGTACATGACATTCCAACATAGAGTGAAAGTATATCAGTGTACACATGCAAGGAATGTAATGTACGTGTGTATGAAATTTAATAATCTATATACGAAGTTTACTGCAAATGTAATGTACATGCACGTTACATTCAATGGGAATGAATTCACTTACACACTTATATCCCATACAGCACAAAAATATTGCAGCAACATTGCAAAAATATTTCATTGCAAGATTGCAACATTGCAAAAATATTGTGAAATATTGTTGCAATATTTCAGCAACATTGCAGCAACGTAAAAATGTCCGTTTTAAAAATATTGATATGTAATGTTGCAGCAATATTACAACATAATATATATGCAATATTAGGTTTAGCGCAGAGTGGAGGAATACTTGCAGTATTATTGCAGAAACATTGTAATAATGTAGCAACATTGCTATAATATTACAATGTTACTGCAATATCTATTATAAGATTTTTTTACTATATAAATTTAAATATAAAAAATTAGAAGTAGGAGTTAAATGTAACATACAATGAATACAAACAAAGAGTGACTTTATAATTAATTATGTCTTTATATTTTATAGGCGTGTTCCGATATACACTGCCAGTACTGAAAATCTACAGTATATGTAACGTGAACTATAAATTTTCAGTATTGGCTGTGCATGGATCCTGAACACGCCTATAAAATATAAAGACATAATAATTAATTATTATGTCTTTTTGAAATCATATTTTATTTATATTCATTGTATGTTACATTTAACTCCTACTTCTAATTTTTTACATTATACGTTTTATATCTTATTATTGTATCCATTGTGCATTATATTTAATCCTTATTTCTAATTGTTTTATGTCTATAAATTATAAGCACAATTCCTATAAATTATAGACATTGACTACGTTTACTTATGCCTATTTCCATTAATGTAGATTAACTTTAATCTCGGTTCAACTTATTCTTCGTCTTTTTCTAACGTCTTTAGAACTAGAAAAAGACAAAGATAAGTTAAACTGAGATTAAAATTAATCTATATTGGTAGAAATGAACATTCGGGTTTAATAATATTCGTAATTAGAAACTAACTATTCATTCCATTTTTCAGAGGAATATAATTATGAAATTGGTCAGTTTCATAACTACAGATGTTATGAAATCCGATTAAGTGTACCGTGTAAACGTGATCATTAATTCCTATTCTTTCATGTCCAAGTCTTTACTTTATTGGATTATACACAAATCAATATATACAAGTCTTAACACTCAAAGTGAACTTTTTAGCAGAGGCATAAATCGACACAGAAACAAGAGTTATTTTTATCTTTGTTTCTTGACTGATTTTTGAACAAGGACAGGATGACTCTTGTGTTAATTTGTGTCTCTTGCTGGAAATATTTTAAAAGAACTGCTGCAACATTACTGAAATAATATTACAAAAAGAAATCTTCGCAATGTTTCTGCAACATTGTATTGCAATATGCAACATTGAAATGTTGCAGCAATGTCGCTACAAGTTTCTGTGTTGTACGGGATAGCAATTGCTAATCACAGCAACTTCTGCGTAGGGAGTTTTTATTTTTTTTTTTCTAGCATTATGATTAGTTTGTGTGCAAGTGTGCAATTGATATACTCACAATTTAAAGGATAGGATCGTATGTAAAAAACGCATTACTAATAATGTAATTTTTTCAAGCGTTACAGTTTAAGTCAATCACTTTTGATTATTAACATAATAGTAACGTTTACCTAGCTTATTCGTGACAATAGGGAGTTTTTGTAATATCATTTATCCAAATACGGTGAATGTTAAGGTCAGATTATCTTCTTCTTAATAACTGGACAATCTTAAATATAAGAATCGATTATGAATGATTACCGATCTGCTTCGCGTCGTAAAATTGGTACTGAATCTTTTCGAAAAAGAAACATAAAATGTACCTTCCAACAAGCGACACAAATGACATAATGGATCATTGCATCCTTGTTTGCCAATGTTGTTTGCCAATGTTATAATACACAAAGATGATATGATCATTGTTTTGCATCGTGTCACTTGTTAAAAGACACACAAAGTGTGTTAAAAAAGGAAAGATTCAATTTCATGACGCGAAGTAAATCGATATTCATAGTCGATTCTTACATTTAAGACTGTCTTAAGTACAGTTTTAAGACGTTATAAGTCAATCCGAGGACTAACTTAACATCTTAAGGCATTATTTAAGACAGTTTTAAAATAAAAATGGACTATGAATATCCACCATATTTAGCGTTTCACAGAAGTCTTAGTTTCTTATCGACATTCATAGACAGAGACAGCGGAGATTTACAGAGAGATACTTGCAAATGCACACATCATGTTATCTCTTCCACCATGCTTTAGTGTTCATCGTATCTGGATTCATGTTATTGCAAAAATTCTCTATTAATTATAAGGTAACTGGGTTTTTATTTGCGTTACTTTTGAAGTTAGAGAAGTAGAATTTAATATTCGAATAGAATACATAACAATGAAAAGAACAATAAAAAGGAATAGAAAGATTATTTATTTTTCTTTCTTTGGAAAAAGAATAAAAGAAGTATGCAGGTTCAAATATACAATTCATCAAAATATTTTCAGTTACCATGAGAATGTCCAACGGCTTTCGAAAGCTTACCGTGATCGACCTGTTACACCGATGGAGACGGCGATATGGTGGACGGAATATATCGCTCGGGGCAATGGCAGATTTTACTTCCGTAGCGACAGCACAGATTTATCCTGGTACCAGCGTCATCTTGTTGATGTAACACTTGTTTTGATTATTGTCTCCATGATATTCATATACATCCTCTTCCGATTGATCAAACTGCTATTGACGTTGCTCAGATTCTTCAAAAGAAGTCAGGTCGAGGAGAAGAGAAAATTGAAGAAGGATAACTGATTATGTTGTATTATCGTAAAATATCGGCTGCGTTCAGCAGAGAAAGCAGCTTTGCAACTGTTATAAAATTTTTCAATATAATTGTTTATATATTTAGATCTATAAGGAATCAAAAGCAAGAATATTGAAGAATTTTACAACAATTGCAAAACTGCTTTCTCTGCTGAACGCAGCCAATTGTGTCGATAAAAAAGCGATTTTTTGAGATAAAAAATAGAAGAGAACGTGGTCTCTCACATCAAATTATGGGTGAATTTTGAATGGAGATGGAATGATATTCAAATTTCGAATAGAAATAAATCGATTAATGTGAAAAATCCGTTTGGTAGAAAATTTGTTGGAGGAAATAAAATCTTGCGATCGTTTGTCATTAGTCCTCCTAGTAAAAGGGATCAGATGTGACCTTCCATTTTGCAAAGCTCATGCGCAGTTTAACAGAGAAAGGAGTTTTATGATATATTATTTACTTTTTTTTTGTTACTTATTTCGTTGTATTGATTAGAAGAGAGAAAGGATATATAACAGAAAAAAAAGGAATTTTATGATATAGTATTTATTTGTTTCACTTATTTCGTTGTATTGATTAGAAGAGATATATTGAGATGAAATGTGAACAAAATGACATCAGCGTTACTTAAAAGTTCTCAATCCAAGAATAATTAGGTTCAGTTACAGGGAAAAAAAAATCGTATATTTCTCTGCTGTTACAAATGATTTTGATCGAGAAGAATAATAATGGGCGCTGCGCGTATTTTTGAATTAGCGTTATCTATCACCTAACGGTGATAGTTCATTAACGTATCAATCGCGCGAATACAAAACCATATGGGAAGGCTCTATTTTCTGCAATCCTTTTCCGGATATCTTGAAAATTCACTTTACTATAGGAGGTTTAACTTTCATTCGTACATTTTCAAAGACGCCCGACTCGAATATCATCCCAAGTAGATTTTTATGCTTTTTCGATATTTCTATACATAAAGTTAATTGAGAAACACGTTATAGTTCGCGTATGATTTCTTCTGCGGAAAGTGCAGCCGAACCGGCATGGGGCAAAATTTTGTTTAATCTCTGGATAGTTTTTTATGATATCTAAATATAAAAGTTAACTAGAACTCGTTTGAACAGCGCATACATGGTGTAAAATTTATAGTTTATTAGTCTCTGATTTTTAATTTTTTCACTTTACGAAAAAGTCGAAATTATCTTTTATATTCTGTAGATTTGCATCACATAAAGCGCATTGTTCCTTTGTTCCTACATTTCCTATAATCGAAGTTAAAGTTTATTACTTTTATCGCAGTGTATAATGTAGTGAAATTAATTAACGTAGAGAAAATTATATTATAAGATATAAAGTTATATCAAATTAGTAGTATATTTCGAAATTTGTTTATTTTACATAAAGATTATGCATTTCGCGGGTTTCCTCTAGATCCATTCTTGGAATGCCAACGTTTCATGAAGTCCATTTCATCAGAGCGAGGAGCAGCCTGATACTGCTATATTTATTTTTTTTCTAGAAAATACATAATTTTTATATTTTATGAATGTATATACGTTTATCTATATGTAAATAAATAAATAGTTTAATAAATAAATAGGTACAATAATATGTGCACTGTATATTCATTATGATTCCTGGCTAGATAGAAAACAATTTTAAAAATTCTATCGAAATAAATCATGCCTTTTGTTTGTGCTTTTCATAAGCATAATGACTTATTATTAGTATATTACCGATAAAGTTTAATGTAAATTTTTTACATATTCCACATACCTTGTGTCGCAAATAAAATATAAATAATATTTATATAAATACTCTATATATCTACCATTTGATCGTTCCTTGAAAAGCTGATTCGAAGACTCGACCTTGACAGAGTACGAAATAAATGTCTTGAATCTGAAGTCAATTGACTTATGATCTACGGCTTGTACTGTTTTATTTTTCTGGTAGCTTTTAAAAAAATAATGGAAAAGTAATGAATAGTTATTTTCTCAAATAATGGTAACTGTAACGAGTTACTTTTAAAATTGGTAACTAGTAATTAACTTGCTTTTCCTACTCGGTAATGAGTAACTTGTTACTTTTAAAAAGTAACTTTTCATTTCCTGTTAAATAGTATGTATTAATAATATGTATTAATAGTATTAATTTAACCTAGTTTTAAACAATTAATTATTTAAAAAGTTGATATATTCATAATTTTTGTTTTATATTTATCTTCATGTTTGGAGCAAAAGTATCATTTTCAATAAGATTAAATACTTAAAACTTAGCACAAAAAAAGTTGTATGTATCAATCAATTCATTTTCAAATGCAAAAGGAACTCTTTTCAGAATTTCGTAAAAAGAATTCTTTTTGTATCTAAAAATAAATTCTAAATTAATGACACAACTAAATTTTTAAAAATTCTTTTAGAACTTTCTGTGCTATCTGGAAAATTATTTCTTTTCATGTTTATAAAAAGTCATTTTCTATATCTTTAACTTTCTTTTTCTTTCCTATTCTCATAAGTTAAGAATATCTGGTATCTATTTTTCAAAAGAATTCCCTTTAGAGTTCTCTTTAGAGAATTCCCTTTAAGAAAATTCTTTTGATATATGTTTAGAACAGATGATATATATATATAGAAAATTCTTAAGCTAAAAGTACAATTTTTTCGCTGTGGTCTATTAGAAAAGAGAAGAAGTTATCGTTAGAGTAATACATATTCAGCGATGCGCGATATTGTAAAAAGATGGAACTGGAAAAAGTTTAAAAAAGAAGCAGTGTTTCCAGATTTTACTGAACCATTTTTAATTACACGATATTTTTCTGCGATAACGAATGATAAGTCAATTTTAATTTAATATGAATTAATTCTAATGAAATGAAGAAACAATAAGCGAGTATCGGTATTTCTGTTTATCGATGAAAAACTAACAGACGTGCAACGAATCTATAATATTGAAATAAAGAGTAAAATAACTGTTGCAAATATCTTATATATTCGCATATCAGTGCAACAAAACATAAATATTATTCGTAAAAGATGTTCTTCCAGTCTAGATAAAACAAACAGCCGCCATATCTTAAAACTTTCGTGTTTATGTGACGATTTATATTTGTTATATTTTTGTAAGTTTTTGTAAGTTATCTTGCTGGGAATCATATTTCATCGCAATTTAATCAACAACGTCGTCAATGAATGAGGGGCAAAAGTTAAATAATGTTTAACAAAAACCATATTGAGTTACAATATTTCAGTCCTTTTTCCATATAATTTAAATATTACTTTTGATGATATTTAATTAGCTTTCGCTTTCTCTCTCTTCGTTCAGAATCAATGATTTATCAATGTCATTAATTAATCTTGTGCTTCCGTACGCGATCACGTCACTGTTGGTCTCTTATTCGAAGTTTTTACGAGCAGCACCCGGGCGGAAGTGCCGATGGAATATTCCGGCAAGTATAATACACGTTTATGACGCGAGGGGGAAAACCGCGAGGCGCGCACCACGAATCATCGTCTACCTATTGTTTTATTATAGACGACAGGATAAGGTTGGTTCCGGGGATAGTAGGGCGGCACGGTAATCTTTCTCTAGCAGCGTGAAATATGCATCTACAATTGCGAGCTTCACGGTACGCCAGGGATTATATTCTCAGCAGTCATACTTGTAGTTCTATTATATATGACGAGAGAAAGATATTTCCCCTACGAAGAGCTTTTTCGGCTCTTTCATCCCTTTTTTTGTACAAAGTTTGAACTTGAAAGTCTTTGAAAGTCTTCTGTCATAATGTTCCTTTCTTATACATTGGAAATATTTTTAATACTATATAATACTAATATTTTTAATATTTTTAATAAATTTTAATTTTGCGAGCTGACGGGACTACAATTCTTCTTTTGTCAAGATATTGTATATCGTACCATGATTTCAATGATTCCATATAGCAAAATCAAGGCTTAAACATACAGAATAATTATCAATCCTTTAATTTGTCCGTAATAATTTATTAAAATTACATAATAAATTAAAATGTAGTTTAACCTATTATGATATAATGCATAATATACAGTAAATGCATAAAGTATGATAGAGGAGATTTTTATAAAAATGCCCTATTTGTAAAAAATAAATATTAATTAGCAAATTAATTATTAATAAAAAATGTGTTAAAATATCCTAATGTAAACAAAAGAGCTTTGCAAAAATAACTATATTTACCAGCTTTTCTCATCAAATACTTTTTATGTAAGTATATACGCTTTTATATACTATCATATAAAATATATTGAAGTAAGAGAAGCGCGCGCGCGTGTATACAACAAGAGGATCTATAAAGAATTTTGAATTAAGGGCTTGCTGTCATTTCGCCATGTCAGTGCATCATAGCTGCTTTTGGTAATTGTGAATCAAGTTTGCTTTTCACAACAGAGAAATCCACGGGAAATTTGATTATACTATCATCATGTGTTGTACGCAGCAATCTATGAAAATAGGATTTTTCGAAATTATACGGCCCGATCCTTCGATTTAAAAACGACATTTTCGATCATCTTCTTGATGCGAGCATACAACCACGTCTGCATATATACTTTGACCATTTTACATCATATTCAAATATAGAGCATGCATTATTTTTACAGTGTGATCGTTCCGTTTTCTTGAAATTCTTCCGTGATGTCCGATGAATTTTGATATTTTGTATTAGAAGAAAAAAATTACTATTTGTTAAGTGTGTTGATATAAAAGAAGATATCAATTAAAAATATCCCCATTTATTATTGAACGTCCTTTAATTTGAATTGTATATAATTCAAATATTAATAAATATTAATTTTTGAACTTTGAATTTTTTACATTTATACTCATACAGAAAAAAACATAGTGATAGCAATTATACTGATAATAATTTTATATTATATAGAATTAATATCATCACAGAGTGTCTTAAACTTTTTCTGTTTGTGGGTAGACCTGACTAAACGGAAAGTCCTCAATTTTGCAATTTT